AATTTGAATTAAAAAATTACACAAAAAATGAGGAATTTCAAATAGTTAATTTGATACTAATATCGATATACTTTTGTCAAATTTTTATGAAATCTTCAAACATATATTTTATTTAAAAATAAAAACACCATCGCAATCTCAAAATCATATAAAGTCATATTATAACATCGACTGAGATAAAGAATAAAATGAAATATTAAAATCACAATGTATCTCGCTGCATTGCGCGAGTACCCTTCTAGTATATTATATATATATACATATCGGGCCGGGCCGGGCCGGGTTGGGATGGGCCGGTGATCCACGCCCCCGTCTCCGAATTCGTCCCCGATCTTCCCCCCGTCCCTAATAAGATGTCCTTGAACTCGACCCGAAAGTTTCGATTTTCGGTTTTCACCATCGGTTTTAGTTTTTACCATCCCTATCCATTAGATGTGAATTGATAACGTACACGAGGTTTGAGCTGATGAAGTTTTATAGTAATCGACATATAAATAAACCAATAAATTCAAAATATATAATTAAATCTCATTAAATTGGAAATTGGAAATTGTGCAGAAAGTAATTAGAATGAGACAAAGCATGGGGCAAAAATCATAATTCATTTAATGGAATTTATAATCTCCAAAGCATAACATCACTAAATTCTAAGTTAACCGCTTCTTTCCTTTTCCATGATAATATCTCAACCCAACATCCAATGCATTTCATAAATCAACATCAGCCCTCCATTAAATGCTAATTATGTACAAAAAATATGTGTTTTTATCATCAATTTAAAAGAAAATATTATATAAAATAATAATTAATTCAATTTTATTGGTGGAATTGAATCAAATAATAATTTTTCTCTTCTCATATCAAGATTTAAAGAATTCTATAAATTTAGGGAGCGTTTGTTTTGCAGATTCTAAAGAAGTCTGATATTGGAATGTTGAATTTCATTCACTAAATACCATCCCCTCGTTTGGTTCATTATTTTTCAATCTTCAAAATTTTACAAAATATTTCTTAGCAACTACATGGTATTTTGATTGAATGAAATTTTCTATTTTCATAATATCAAATATGTCTCTAATCCAATATACCCTAATCTCATAAAACCCAATATGACCATCGTCGACCACCTTCTTCTGAACCACCGTCGACCATTGTCATCTAAACCACTGTCGATCACCATCTACGACTACCACCGATTTGAACCACAATTGCCGATTTAAACTGCCACCGATCTGATCCAGTGTTGATCTGAACCACCACCAATCACCGCTATCTGAACCACCATTAACCACCACCAATCTAAACCACTGTTGACCATCCCCATCTGAACCACCGCGGACCACCATTGATCTGAATCACCGCCAACTACTACCAATCTAAATTACCATCGGTCACCGTTGATCTGAATCACCCGCTAACCACCTCCATTTGAACCACCGCGGACCACCATTGATTTGGACCACCGCCATCCCAACCACTGCAGACCACCACCGATTTGAACCACCGTTGACCACCGTCGATTAAGTTAATGTCGTTTGGGTTATAGTTATATTTGGGTTCTGTACTTTATATCGTTTTACATATTAAATAATTATTTTATTAAAGCACTTTTAGTTTAAAAAAAATTAAAAAAAAAAACATTTTCGTCATTTACCAATGTCTCATTTCAATTATAAAACTACATCATGTGAACCAAACAGATAAATTTCAACTTCTCAAACAGATTCTATTCCAATATACGTCAACCAAATAAATAATCAAAGCTGACAACATTTCATTCCAATTCTTTCAAAATCAAATTTTTTTAACAAATTACATTACATCCAAAAACATTTTATATACCAAACACCAGCTTAATTTATTTTTTTCATGATTTCTCTATTTTAAATAATACTCTAAAAGAACAGAAAAAACAAAATCTTCATTCCCTTAGAGAGCAAGTTTGAAGGGTTGAATATGTGATGGAAACAACAAATGACAAATGGAGAGTGCCGATTCCTTAATCCCACCTCCAAACACTACTCACATCGCATCCTCTTCATTTCCCCATGCGCTTCTTTTTTTATTCCCTAAATACCCCTACTTCCTTTGCTTTCATTCCCGAGACGCCATCCTTGTACCCTAATTTCAACACTTCTACCCCCCCCCCTTTACTTTCACCATATTCCACTTTCACCCCCCTAATTGATGGTTTCTAGCAATGTGCCAAAGAAACCCCTCAACGGTTGGTGTTGTTATGGTTTGAACCTTAAAAATTGAAGGAAAGAATTTTTAATGTCTCAACTTAAAAAGGTATAAGAAAATATTATTGGGTACTTGGGTTCAAAGAAATACAAGGGACTGAGGAGTGAAAAGTAGTTGAAGTGTAAGGGGGTAAAATGTAATTAAATGATCATTCGATGCAAACTCCCCCTATAAAGGAATAGTAGGAGTCGTTTGGCCACGCAAAAAAACAAACTGACCATCCCTATCTATCTACTCTTTCTGACTCTCTCCTATGATCATGGACGGCGGCAGTACCAGCGGTACATCGGAGGCCCCAACTGCGGTTGTTGGAGACGGAGCAGCTGGGTCACCGGTGTCGGGTAGGTGGAATCCGACGAAGGAACAGATAGCCATGCTGGAGAATTTATATGGACAAGGATTAAGAACACCGACGGCTGAACAAATTCAGGAGATTACCAGTAGACTTCAAACTTATGGACACATCGAAGGCAAGAATGTGTTCTATTGGTTTCAAAATCATAAAGCTAGGCAAAGGCAGAAGCAGAAACAAGATCATCTCTTATTGTTCCGGCAATATCACCACCATCAGCTCCGCTGTCCTCCGCCTTTCCTCTCTCTACCTCCGTCGCCAAACGGTTTGTACAATTCGCTTGCAATATGTGTATAATATGTGTATGAATAACCATATGATTTATTTGGCATTTGTTTTTGTTCAGTTATATACGAACCATGCTACATGCCACAAAACAGTTTAGGGTTCTATGGTCAGTGTCCACAAGTCGTGTCACCTAGCACCGGAAGGAGAAGATCTCCACGATCCACTAAGCCAAGGTCGCCGGATGATGGCGGATTTCTGTTGACCCACCAGCCTGAAAGTGTTGTCACGCTCGCCGGAGGACATAACACGATGGTAAAAGATCAAGAAGAGGATATCATTAATGGGAGAAGTTCCAGTGATCAAGAAACTTTGGATCTTTTTCCACTGCACCCAACTGGGAATTTGCAAGAACGTGAGGATACTACAAGCAATGCTAGTTGTACTATTGCTTCTACTGCTTGTACATTAAGCTCCTCTGGAGGCGCCATCGACCGTCTGTACTTTGACTTTTTTGCTTGACGTAGACAGTGGTGTATGGTGATGTTAAAAATTCTTCAGTACCATATATAGTCTCATGCATGCAATTTTTTGGATGTGATCCATCTTTATATGTTATATCATGTACCATCAAAATGGTTGGATAATTTTTAAATAATAAAAAACGTTCATTCTTTTAGTGTTGGTGTTGTCGCTTTTCTTGGTGAAAGGGCCGAAACGAGTTGAACTTGTAGGGTGGACTTGTGCCGTTATCAACCTCGTTGTGTTTGTCGCTCCTCTATGCATCATGGTAATAATATAAAATACTCATTGGAATTCAAACGTTGCAAAAGACCTGTTTTGTGGCTAACTCAAAACACCGTTTTTTTATGCAGAGGAAAGTGATTTGAACGATAAGCGTTGAGTATATGCCATTCATGCTTCTTTCTCACTCACTCTATATGCCACCTTGGTGGTTCTTCTACGGCTTATTCGTAAACGACTACTTCATAGCAGTAAGTTGCTAGAGGACATTCGTGACAGCCTTTTTTCTTCGCGAAAGTATCTGTTTTTCGGTTCGTGATCTAATGTGCCGGTTTTCATTGATGGGTGCCAAATGTTGCTGGATTTTTATTCCGGATCACTCTAATGGTTCTTTATTGTGTATACAAGGATTCCAAGAAGCAATCTGGTTCGGATTTGGTTGAGAAACCGAACAAAACTGGCACCGATAAAATCTCGAGGTGGAGTGGTGGTTTCGAACGGCCATCGACATTAGTTTGGTTATGGTTACTTTAAGATACAAGAGAAGAAGCATATATATCCCAAGAGGAAAACTTGTTCTTTGATGAGTTGTCAAGTTAAAAGTATTTTCTATATGTCAAGTGAAAAAGACTAAATTACCCTTGTAGGTCTCGTATCAGTATACGGTATTTGAGATCAATATACGGTGTACAAGATCAATAATTAATACGATATTAGTTTCATGTCTTTTATATTTATGTTTTGAGTTACAAAGTAGTACATCATATTTAAATACACTTCTTTTAAAGGATCCAACTATCTTGTCGCTTATTATAGCAGTTTCAAAACTTGTAGGGGCAATGTAGTCTAACAGGCAAGACTTAAGATATGACTAGTTGTGTACCCGCGCAATACGGCGGGAGCCATGAATTTCAAAGATTTTGAAGTTTCACTGGTTTGATAAGATAAGATTTAACGATGATATATGTTACACTTGGTCTTTACATATTAATACAATTTGAATAAATAAGAGTTATGGTTCAAATTACAGAATATCGATGAAAAAAATTGTATGACAGTTTAAAATCCAATATATTTAAACGACTCCACAAATGTGTTCGATTTACACCAAGAGCAAAAAACCAAGGAACTTGAGTTTTAAGATAAACACTCAAAACCAATAAAGAAAACTACAAATTTAACAGATCATAAGCCATGAAAAGACCAAAAAATATGAGTTTTAGAATGAAATTTCAACTGTTTACCCTCTTTCTTGTCCAGAAACTCAAATTAAGGTTGAATTAATACATGTATATATATTTTAAAAAAAACCCAAGAACATATTAATTCAGAACATATTATATAGTGCAATTTGGACAGCTTAACCCCAAAATATATACTATATATATAAATAAATAACTATAAAATTATAAATCGTAAATATTAAAAATATTTTTTCACAATACATATAATATATAATAATATATATAATTTCAAAAACTATTTAATATTGGACTCATTTCGAAGGCATTAAATAGACGATTATAATGGTGTAACTTGTTAAAATAAAAATGTATTTTTTAAGCATGTTTTAACTGATATATGATTATGTATATTAATTTGATAAAGATTTAAAATGAAACATTTAAAAGTAAATGACGTAAAGTAAATTAATTAACTAATTATAGGGGTATAAAGTGTAAATTTAAAATTATAATTTAAAAAAAATGGGTTGTGAGAGGGTGAGTGTATGTGAGGGGGTGAGTGCATGTGAGGAGGGGAGGGGGTGAAAAAGTGTATAAAGGGTATCTTGGTCATTTAGTATTTTAAGACTTTTGCTAAATTTGCTTTATAAGATAGTATAGATTATTGCAAGTCTTGCCTACATGAAAATATTGTTTTATCTGAATCTCGTATGTTAGTTAACACAAAAATATCAAATTTCACAATTATTTAAAACCCTATCAAACCCCAATTTTGACCAAAAAAAATACATCTAACCTATCAGTAAGTTAATAAAAATCGCATGATATAACATTGTTGGTAAGGAAGAACTTCATTATTTATTCGTATTCAAATTAGGGTTGCGAAAGTTCAATTAAGTTTAGCGTTTATGGAATTCCAGTATGGATTGAAAAATAAATAATAATTTGAATTCGAGTTTATAAAAAAGAACTCGAACTGAATTCATGTCTGAGGTTTTCGTATTGTATGTATGTCAATAAGTACTAAACTTTTTCAAGTCATATAACTTTAAAACTTTTTCGTATTGGTGATGTTTGATTGTTTTTCATTAAATCGTGTATGGATAAAGTTGTTTGTGTGTATTAATGTCGGAATAGATTTACAAAGTTTTTGTTGGAGGGTTTTTTTTTCATAGATGTTGGAGCGTGTTTGTTAATTGGGAATAACATATTTGGAAAAAACTTAGTTTTCTGCATATATTTTCCTCTAGAATACTGAAAATTATATCTATATCCTTAAGCCCCTACCAAGCAATCATGTATAACTTACCGAATAAGTTATGAGTCTTTAAGCTACGAACAAAGAAGCCCTTAGTGGCTGTTAATTTCCCATTAAATTTTGTACGGATAAAGTTGTCTGTGTGATCAATCTATGTGTATAGAAAGGTTTTTGTTAAAGCGGATTTTCATATATGAAATGAGCATGTTTTCTAATTGATCGGACATTTAATTTTCTTTTGACTTTCTACATAACGCTATCCCTAAGAATTCACTAAATTAACCACTTTCTATATTATTAAGGTGAGAAAAACCTAGACTATATAAAAAAAAGTCGGTCAAACTATCAAACCAAAATTATAGAGAAAAATATTAGCAACGTGGAGAAGAAAAAGGTAGACATGGCTTTCCCTGATTTGAACCAGGTTTACCGTTTTAATGGAATATTAAAAGTTAGCCGTCCGGAATTTGATGAAAAGATAAAAAGAGCAAACATGGTTTGATATGACAAGACAAGACATGACAGAATTGGTTAAAATGACCAATTTACCCCAGTGAGTTTAAGTCTGATAATAATAAAATATATGTCATTATTCTGATAATAATAAAATATGTTATATATTTTGACTAGTGTTTAAGTCTAATATGTACTTGATACATATTATTATTTCCATTGTTTTAAATGTATATTTAATTTTATGTGTGACATTAATTATATAAGTTTTATATTTTTGATGTAAAATTTATATGAAATAACTAACAACTAACTAATAAAACTACGGTTGGTTTTAGGTTGATTATTAGTTGATTTATAAGTATATTAGTTGCTTCCAAGTATACCACAAATGACATTTAAAATATTAAACAAAAAAGGACAAGGTGTGGAATGTAAGAAGTATGTTAGAAGATATGGTCTCCCACTCTTTCTTCTTTTCTTCCTTTTGAATATATCATATATATGCATGTGTGGTGATTCAATAAAAAAAAAAGTAATACATATTCTCATACTATGCTAACGTTTTCTAAGCTTTCTCTCTAAAATTCTAAGTGTTTGAGACTTTTGAGAAAGAGTTATTGAGAGAAAAAGTGAGGAGATACATACTTGGTTTTTATTTCTAAGATACAGATAAAACACACTAGTTTGGATTGCAAGGAATTAGCATTCAAAAAGGAGGTTGCTTGTTGTGGATCAACTTTGAAGGAAAATCCATTTTTCTTCTCTACCCAACATCAACGTTCAAGCTTCAAAGATTGTAGTTCTAAAACCCACTATGATTGTATTTTGCATTTTTTTAGTTTTTTTAATGCATAAGATCCTTGTTGAGAGTTTTTGTGAACATCGTTGTAGGTTTATTTTATGTTTCCGTTGCTATCTTTGATAATATTGTTTTAAAGTTTCCCACAAATCCCTACATTTTATCCATTGGTCTTGAGAAGTTATATTTTACCTACTTTGGTGACTAACATCTCGATATAAGATTTGAGGGATTTGGATTTCAAATCATTCCAATCTTGTGTTTAGTTTGCAGGATTGTCAGGATTTGAAATCTAATGATTACTTTGAAATCTTGTAATTGATGTATTTGGAAATCCTTTGGAAAGGGTTGATATTTGAAATCCAAATCCTGTATGATTTCATAAATCGATTCTTATCCTAATTTTAACTGTCTCCTTCCTACCCTCTGGCTTTGAACAAAAATGACACGCTCTCTCTAGCCATTGCTCCCCTCCTCCGTTGTCTACACCGCTGCCCTCTTCCGTCATCTTCACTGCTGCCCTCAGGTCTCATTCCAAAAAATCTAACAGCAGAGCTTCGCTCTGAGAACCAGACAACTTTGACCTCGCCTCCTCAACCTCCATTCTACTCCAACTCCGGTGAACGTCACCTCCAATCGCCTTGCCCCATTGGTTTCCTTCCTCGAGTTTCCTCCCTACTGATCTCCTTCTCCATGTTGTCATCTCTCTCCTCTTTGCTCATTCCTTATTTCCCCCGCCCCACCACTGCTCCTTTGCTCTCCATGTTTTGGTTAGAGTTTGTTTTTGTATGTCTTGTGTTTGGGAAGAAGAAACGGGAAGTATGGATCTTGGTGAAGTTCCTTTCGAATTCAGAACTAGTTGACTGAAAAAAGCCATAATTTTTATCTTTTTATTGCTTCGATTGCCAGAACCATGTAATAATGATATCAAATTTGAGGTAGAATTTTGGTTAAGGTTAGTGATTTTTTTCCCCTAGAAAATCATGATAACCCCAATGCTAATGTCTTTGTTGATGATAATAATTATGGGGATGATTTCTTTGTATCCAGGAGGATAAGGGGTCGCCATGGTACCCAATTTGAATCCCACTGTTCATCTTAGGGGTGTTCAACCAAACCACCCACATTGCAAAAGCACGGTTTTGAACTTTCGCGGTGCGGTTGCGATTTGCATTTGTACCAAATCGCACTATGCGGTTTGCGGTTTTGAGTTGTCAAACGCACCGCACCGCATAATTTATACGTTTTACTAATTTTACATATAACACGCACATATATAGAATAATTTATTATTTATGTAATATTTTGGACTTTAATTTTGATCCAATATGGCAATTGACAATATTAATAAATTAGTTAGACACGTCACAACTCATACGCCCAATTTAGTTTGAAGTTTATTTTTTTTACCTCTTAGACTATTTTTATTTATGCAATATATATTTGAGAATTAGATTTACTGAAACTCTTTATTTTTTTAGATTACAGTCACTCTATCATTAATTTTATAATGTGTTTTTAAACTTATAATTATTGAATTGTAGACATAAAATATGATAGATACAAATCGCATAAACCACACTGCATTGTATTTTGCAATGCAGTTTAAAGTTTAAGCAAACATGAATATAAAGGAATAAATTTTAAATCAATTCCAAATCCTACAAATCAAACACATAAAAAAAATAAAAAAAATAATAATAATAAATAAATAAATATTTAAACGAAAAAAGAATTAAAGAAATACAAGAGTAGAAGCGTCCCGAAGCAACCAGGCGTCCAGGTGTGAGAGGAAGCGAAAAACGGTGATTCAAAAATATTTAAAATAAAAGAAAAAAGAGGAGAAATCTAGTACGTTCCAACCGCAGTTTTTTGACAATTGCCAAATATCAAGACGCAAGAACATTCTGGAATTCAACCTTTTTCCATCTTATATAACCGCCCTCCCGCGTTCGTAATTTTCATCCTACTCAAAAACAACAAACAAATTCTTGCTTTTGCTATACGTCTAATCTGCTCATTTGATCTTTGTTTTTCTGGTCATCGGAAAAAAATGTCAGGGAAAGGTGAAGGACCGGCGATTGGTATCGATCTTGGAACTACTTACTCCTGCGTTGGTGTTTGGCAACATGATCGTGTTGAGATCATTGCCAATGATCAGGGCAATAGGACGACGCCGTCTTATGTTGGATTTACGGATACTGAACGTCTCATCGGAGATGCTGCCAAGAATCAGGTCGCCATGAATCCGACCAACACTGTTTTCGGTATGCCTCTTTCTAATATTTAGTTCTCGACTTTGCGAACTTATGATTGGTGCTTATATTTATAGGGAAATTGATTTCTGGGTTCTAGTGGTACTTCTTACGGTTGTATACGATGTTCTGTAGTGTTGAGAAACAGGGCCTTTTAGTTCGTAGAATTTGAAATATATGTCGAGATTTCTTGTGAGAAAGTAGTATATTGTCTTGTCCCAAAAAAAAATAGATTTTATGGCTGATTTTTCGGTTTTAATTTGATGGGTTCTATTCAGCAAGCTCGAGATCTCTTTTTAAGTCAAATTTTATGTGGTTTTCGAGTCTAATTCGATCAAAACGATGTGATGTTTGCAGATGCCAAGCGATTAATTGGAAGGAGGTTCTCTGATCCATCGGTGCAGAGCGACATGAAGCACTGGCCATTTAAGGTTGTTCCCGGTGCCGGAGACAAACCCATGATTGTTGTCTCGTACAAAGGTGAAGATAAACAATTCTCTGCTGAAGAGATTTCTTCCATGGTTTTAATCAAGATGAAAGAAATCGCTGAAGCTTACCTCGGAACCACCATTAAAAATGCTGTGGTCACCGTCCCTGCCTACTTCAACGACTCGCAGCGTCAAGCCACCAAGGATGCCGGTGTCATCTCGGGTCTTAATGTGATGAGAATCATCAATGAGCCGACTGCCGCCGCCATCGCTTACGGGTTAGACAAGAAGGCTGCCAGTGTTGGAGAGAAGAACGTTTTGATTTTTGACTTGGGTGGGGGCACTTTTGATGTGTCTCTGCTCACCATTGAAGAGGGTATTTTTGAGGTGAAATCGACTGCCGGAGATACCCATTTGGGTGGAGAAGATTTCGACAATAGGATGGTTAACCACTTCGTTCAGGAGTTTAAGAGAAAGAACAAGAAGGATATTACTGGGAATGCAAGAGCTTTAAGGAGGTTGAGAACTGCTTGTGAAAGAGCAAAGAGGACTCTTTCATCAACAGCTCAAACAACGATCGAAATTGATTCTTTGTATGAGGGAATTGATTTCTACTCAACGATAACACGTGCAAGATTCGAAGAATTGAACATGGATTTGTTCAGAAAGTGTATGGAGCCAGTTGAGAAGTGTTTGAGAGATGCGAAGATGGACAAGAGCAATGTTCACGATGTGGTGCTTGTTGGTGGGTCGACCCGAATTCCCAAAGTGCAACAACTACTGCAAGATTTCTTTAACGGGAAAGATCTCTGTAAGAGCATCAACCCTGACGAAGCGGTGGCCTATGGTGCAGCGGTTCAAGCTGCCATTTTGAGCGGCGAAGGCAATCAGAAAGTCCAGGATCTGCTTCTGTTGGATGTGACCCCTCTGTCTCTGGGACTGGAGACTGCCGGCGGTGTTATGACGGTGTTGATACCAAGAAACACCACCATTCCCACGAAGAAAGAGCAGGTGTTTTCAACTTACTCCGACAATCAACCTGGGGTTTTGATCCAGGTKTAYGAGGGTGAAAGATCAMGRACYARAGATAACAATCTGTTGGGCAAGTTTGAGCTTTCTGGGATCCCACCGGCTCCTCGTGGAGTTCCACAGATCACCGTCTGTTTCGATATCGATGCTAACGGGATCTTGAATGTGTCTGCGGAGGACAAGACGACAGGGCAAAAGAACAAAATCACAATTACGAATGACAAAGGGAGGCTGTCAAAGGAGGAGATCGAGAAGATGGTGCAGGAGGCGGAGAAATACAAGGCTGAGGATGAAGAACACAAGAAGAAGGTGGAGGCGAAGAACGCGTTGGAGAACTACGCTTATAACATGAGGAACACCATAAAGGATGATAAGATAAGCTCAAAGCTGCCGGCGGATGAGAAGAAGAAAGTAGAAGATGCGGTGGAGGCGGCTATCCAGTGGTTGGATGGTAATCAGCTGGCGGAGGTTGACGAGTTTGAAGACAAGATGAAGGAGTTAGAAGGGGTCTGTAATCCAATAATTGCGAAGATGTATCAGGGTGGTGCTGGTGGCCCTGAGATGGATGAGGGTGGTCCTGCTGCTGGCGGAAGCGGTGGCGCTGGGCCAAAGATTGAAGAGGTGGATTAAGTGGGTGAGGATGTGCTGTTTGTTACAGTGTCTTTAGTGTAGGTGGTGGTCATGTTTTGGTTGTTAATTTATGTTATGTCGGTTCTCTTGTTGCTACATGTGTCTACGATTATGCTGTTCTAATTGGTGCATGTTTTGTTGGTTGTATGATCGAATTCTAGCCTTAGGGGTTGTTTGTTTGGGTCTGAATGATGATATTGAGAGTAAACCTTTTAATGATTACAAAAGCCTCCTAACCCCACTAAATGGTTCAGACTCCTATTGTTCCAAATTTGCCCTCTTTTCCAGCAGCTCTTCTTCACATCGCAGCCGTCTCTGGTCGCTGCCCCTGCATCTTCAATAATCCCCCAGTCGCCTCTACTGTCTTCTTCTGTGATAAACTCACTGCTTCCACGGTCGCTGTTCTCTCCATCTGCTTCCACGGTTGCTGTTTGCTTCAGGTGTTTCCCTAAAATCGATCTCCTTGCTTCCTTACATCTGCTTCTCTATCGTTTCCTTCTATGTATATGTTTTAAACCTTGCTTCCCTACATCTCGGTTCAAACGATTTGTTTTTGTGTGATTCATTACCATCGACTGCAACCACAGATTGAAACCATAAGTTTGCATCGATTGAAGCCTATCACATTTTCTGGTTGAAACCATCGATTGAGACCATCATTTGAAACCAACTGCTCATCTCATTTTCCATTTGTTACGATTTGTTTCAGTTCGATTCATAACCATTGACCGAAACCATCTCATTTTTTGGTCGAAACCACCAACTGAAACCATCTATTGGTCGCATTTTCTGCTCGAAACCATCTGTTTGCATCGATTTAAACCACTGCTTGCATCTGTTTGACCGATTGAAACCGCGGATTGTGTTTGCCATCACCTCAAGAGGAATCTACCAGATTCAAACTTTTGAAATTTTATGGCTATTAAAAGAATCGTTTTTAGAAGAATCATTTATGGATGATAAACAATAGTTATCAAAGACTGAATCCAAGACCAGTCTCATAATCATTATCTTAAAACACAATTGTGGACTTTTACCTGTACGTTAACATTATGTTCATCCACCTTGAACTTCCATTTATGTCATGTTGGCTAAAGATTATAATGGGCATTACAATGAGAGACTTTTTCGATTAATATGAAATATGTAGTTAGACTTTTTCGATTAATATGAAATATGTAGTTAGACTTTTTCGATTAATATGAAATATGTAGTTATATTTGTAAATAAATTATTCTATTTAGATATCTGTTAAACAGTTATATTTCATTAAAGACTAAATCATATAAAAGGTTAAAATGGTAATTTTTTGTCATTCAGAGAATTCTTGAGAGATTATATGATATTTTAGGCGATTTTAAAAATGCATTAACTTCTTTATCCAACAAACCATTTACTTCAAAATCAAATACTAATTTTGGCAAGTAAGATGGCACAACATAAAGACGATCATGATTGGGAGTTGTGGTTCATGTAATGAAAGGAAATTTGTTGAAAATATTTTCTAGAGATCTATTTTTTTTTGTATCTGCCACGGATATTTAAATATTCCATAATAGAAGTTTTAATTTCAAATATATGTTGACTTTTGGTTTAAGTAAAGATAATGATAGAAGTTTTAATTTCAAATATATGTTGACTTTTGGTTTAAGTAAAGATAATGATAGAAGTTTTAATTTCAAATATATGTTGACTTTTGGTTTAAGTAAAGATAATGATGATTATTCAAAAGAATAAATATGCAAGTTTAATCGTGATTTTAGTCATTTATTTGATCATTACAAAACAAAATTATGGTGGAAGAAGTGTGCAAAAAGAACTATTTAAATCATGGTAACTCGAGTGCTACTTCTAATTCTCAACACCAAAACCGGATGAATTTAATGACTAATTTAACAAGGTTCAAAATTTTACAATTTAAAAATCTAGAGTTGATACCGACTTAGATGAACTAATAATATGTATATGCATACTAATTTTGTTTCATTTTCTGAAAGTATTAGTTTATTTTTTTCTAAAACAACTTCAATCCGATTTGGTCGCTATGTCCATGATATACTAACAATCCAAGCTAGTAACGTAGCTTTGTAGTACGCTTCTTTTTTCTTAGTCGCAAGATCATTTCGATGCAGAAGACAAGATTTAGCCTAGAGTCCATGGAGTGTTGTATGCTTGATGGATTATTTGGATAGAAATTAAAGAACTCAACACACGACATCACTGGAGATTGAGCTTGATGAAGTGGAAGAAATCGAGTACTCTCAAAACCTAACAACGCTCCCGAGTATCGATACTGGCACCTACTCAGCAGTAGACGATGATGATTTGAACTTGACCTTGAGGCCCTTGTTACCCTCTATGGAACATAAGTTTAAGGATTATATTGATGGAAGATTTGAAGATCGAAGAATAAATTTTATTATTTACGGATCACATATTATAGACTTATAGTTATTTAAAAAGGCAAATTGCGTGAAAAGATAACTTACTTTGTTTTGATTCCTATTTTGAGTAACATACTTCCCAAACATTTATTTTGGTACCTATGATTAGAAATCTTAAAAATTTAAGTACCTTGATAATCCATTTAAATATTAACTGGTTGTGTATCTGCGTAATGCGGCGGGAGCCGTGAATTTTAACGATTTTGAAGTTTTACTGGTTTTATTAAAGAAGATTTAACGATGATATAAGTTACACTTGGTTTTTACATATTAATACAATTTGAATAAATAAGAGTTACGGTTCAAATTACAGTCTATCAATGAAAAAATTGTATGACAATTTAAAATCCAATATATTTAAAATCCAACATATTTAAACGATTCTACAAATGTGTTCCATTTACACCAAGAGCAAAAAATCAAGAGATTGAGAAACGAGACCGAGAGTTCTAGAGCAATTGAATGGGAGAACTTTTAATAACTCATGGTGAATATCAGTTTAAATCTCATCTTGGGGGATTGGGACAAGACATAGAGGTATGAGAGGGTGAAGGCATGAGTGAAATGTGTCAAAAGTATCTTGGGAACATGAAAAGAAAAGTTAATAATGTGCATCGGTAACTTGTACTATATGTCATTTTAATTGTAGATTAAGAGATTTTAAGACTGAATACATAAATTAATAGTACATAATAAATTATGAATTATTTTTAAGACTTTTAAGACTTTGTGCATAAACATAAAGTACTTTGTGCATCAAAAATTATTTTTAAGATTTTTAATAAATTTGGTTTATAAGATAGTATAGATAGATTACCATGTCGACATGACAAATGACATGGCAACCAACTCAAATTTATTTGTTGAAATGGCTTATGATATGGATTTTTTGTATAACATTTTAATTTTAAATTAAAACTACATTTTTTTCATCATCATAAAAGATCATGGCTCCAATCCGAACCAAACATCTTTTCATGATCAACATCTCGGATCAAAACCTTGGTTTTCTTGTCTTTGAATGTTTGATATCGATATATGAACCTGTAAGCATCTCAAATCGGGTTCGAAATTGAAAATGATTTGAGGTTTTTGACCAAAATTTTTACAAGTCGAAGAAGAAATTGAAGGTTGCTAATCAAAGTTACGACTTGATCCCGTTCTTCATATTCAAGATCGGAGTTCCAAAAAATGGATATCATTGAGACGAACCTTTTTGAAAAGATGGAGGGTCTTGGCCTTGGTGAGATCTCGAGCAAATCAATAGAAATGGGAGAACATGGAGTTTTGGATTATGGGCATGAGATCTCGAGCAAACTAGTAGAAATAGGAGAAAATGAATTTTTGGATTAGTGTTTTGAATCTTGGCCTCGATGAGATCTTGAGCAAGCAGTACGATTATGGAGTCATGCTCCGATGAAATAATCATCGCAAACCACCATCACCTTTCATTCAACTTAAGTCTTCTTTTTTATCTTGATTAAAAAATTCTGAGAAACTACTGAGATAACCATAAAAACTATTGTTGATTTACTGCTTGTTTGCTAGCCACTTACCGTCTCTTATCGGTGACTAAACACTTGTTGCCTTTTACAGGGTAAAGAGATGATGGTCGTTACCAACATTTTTACCGTGCCATTTTGCTAACTGAAAATCATATCCAGTAAGTGAGAATGGTGATTCTTACCCGGTTACTGCTTACCGGGTAAGAGACGTATATAATATGTTATTTTTGATGGATGAGAATATTACACAATAAGGTAAGTGAGGGTGTGACTCCTACCCGGTTGGTGCTTACCAGGTAAGAGATGCTTATAGCCTTATACTATGCTATTTTTGGTGATCGAAAATATTACCCGGTAAGATAAGTGCGGGTGTGACTCCTACCCGGTAAGCCTTACCCAATTTGTGTTGGTAAACATCCCCTTAACGTTTTCGTTTTGGGGTTTTAGTTTTGTTTTAATTTTGGGATTTGATATTATTTGTTGATGATGTTTTTCATCTTCTTTAATACCCTTTATAAATCAGTGTTGATGGTAACCTATTAATTTTTAAACATGTTACTCATATATTTAAATGTTTAATATTTTTAATCATAGTTTTAAAACGAATGTTTTGAATGTATGTTACTCAAAATAGAATTAAAACAAAGTAGGTTACCTTTTTACACAATTTACTCTATTTAAAAATGTAAATCAAATGTGAAATTGGATTTAAAATGAAATTATATTTAAACTTATTTTCAAGTGTATTTTTTTGACCTAGTTACATATTTTAAAGTGTATTTAAATAATATTTTACGTACTAAAAAAATCATCAAAAATTATTTTTATAAGTTTTCAAAATTGATTTAAAAAAACTTGCAACCGGTTTGGACCGGCCTGTGACAGGACCGGTTTAGAAGGGTATGTGACGGGACCAGTTGTCCGGTTGTGGTTAAATGGGACTGGGCCATGGGCTATTTTAACTAAAATATAACATTCAAACTAGACACAGATATATAAACATTCCATTCAGCAATTTTCTCTTGTACATTAAATCTCTCAATTCAATCTGTTTGTGGTGGGTGATTGGAAAGATGTTAGGGAAACGTGAACAACCGGCGATTGGTATCGATCGTGGAACCACTTATTCTTGCATTGGTGTTTGGCAACATGATCGTTTGACATCATCACGTTCACGGCAATAGGATGGCAGCTGGTTTCATAGATACGGAGTGTCTCATTGGAGATGTTGTTAACAATCAGGTCGTTATCAATCCAACGAACATTGT